CTGAGAACGTTTCAAGTTGCCAGTTCGATCCCCACAGCCTGCCCCTCTGGGTCCCTGAGCAAGGCCCTTAATTGCACACTCCCCCCCGGAACGAAATCCCTCCAGTGTTTTATTTCCTTAATAGTGATATAATTGATTATTACCTTTTCAAATGATTATAAACTAGTTCAGATTGATTTTATTAACAATCTGCCAAGCACAGATTGATGGTTTGGATCACAGGAACACCGTTTCATTCACAACACCTGTCCCATCAACAAGGAATCCGAATCTGAATACTTTAATAATCCCAGGGCGAAATTACTTTTGTTACATGACTCCATCTGTAATAGAGTGACTATAGGACCATATTGATTCAACACTATTTCATACTATATATAATTAGGGGGTCCCGGCTCCATCTCGCCATCAGTTGGGGGGTCCATGGAAGCGTTGAAGACCCCTGCTGTAGCTGCTGGTGTTTAAACACTGAGGGTTTATGCAGGCATTTGGTTGTTATACTGTTAAGTGTTAGCATTTAGCTTGGGTAGCGCTGACGTAAGTGAAAAAAAGAAGAAAAAAAAAGAAAAGCTTGTTTCGAGAATTTAGTAATTTTGATAAACTAGTGTTCAACACCTCAAAGTTTTTCAAACACAGTCATTTTAGATTTAAAGGAAATATCTCAGAAGAAAAACTTTAACAACCGCTACTAAGCGTTAACCAGTAAAACTGCAGGCAGGTACTTTAGCTTGGAATGCTTTATGTTGAATTTGGGAGAAAAACATTTGTGCCTTTCTTTTAAGGGGGATTCCTTATGGAACTGTTTATAAAATCAATTTCCCGTTTATCTGATCACACATACGAATAGCTGAATGGAGTAAATATCTGCAGTGGTATGCAGATCGGAAGCTTAGAGCGCGCAGGTTAGCAGCAGCAACTTAAACTTTCTCTCAGCAAACTACATATCACAGCCAAGTGCCTTTTCAGCCATGTTAACTTCCTCAGGAAATCTTATCTGAGAGAGATATTTTTGTCTGTACTGGAGGCCTCCAGGCTACATAACCTCATTATTTGCTTTGGCTTCCTGACTGTGTTTCCCCTCTTATCCTCAACAGCCCTATAGTGAATGCTGGCTTTGGACGAGAGCATAAAAACACCCGCCATTTAAACAAACTGTTAACACATAAATGAGCTATCTCAGTGGGACAGACCCAGACTCTGTGGGCTCAGCAGTGTGCTTAAAGCTTAGGATATTGGCAGTTCTCTATCGGCACAAGTAAGAAAGCCACTTATGCAGACGGGGAAATAAGGGTGGGATTGGAGTGTAAACCCACCTGAAGGCAGCAAACTCTCAGTTTGTTTATGAAAGACAAACTGTTCTGGAAGCAAATGGCTCAGTGGTACACAAACATTTTACAATCATCTTAATGACAGAGGCAAATAGTGTGCCTGGTTTCCTATTAAAGTCCCAACAGAAAGGTCCAGCTGATCTCATCTGTTTCCTTCTTTTGTTATAATAAGTTCAATGAAGAGAATATTTCACTCCCAAAACACCAATTCAGTCAGGACACTTTTATAGGGCCTGGAAACAATGCTCAAATCTTTAAAAAAATCAGAGGAGGAATATTAGCTGCTGTCTGGGGAGATGTGCTTAAAGGTTTTCAACAACAACAAACATGTGGAGGAAGATGATCTGGTTGGACATTACTTAAACCATAGGAAAACCCTATGTGTGGCACAAAACACTCTCTACACACACACACACACACAAAAAGTACTGTAAAACATGTTGGTGGTTAGAGCTAGGTATATTAGGAAACTAACAAGTCAGTTCGATTTCGATTCTTTGGACCAAGTTTGATGAATATCGATTTAAATGTTTCAATATGAACTTCCTTTTAGAGTATATGTTGATGCATTTTAGATATTTATTTAGTCATGACCTTCTACAGAAGCAGTATAGAGAGCGTTCTGACCAGCTGTCTCACTGTGTGGTGTGGAGGCCGCAGCATCTCAGACTTGTGAGAAGAGTCGTGAGAACAGCAGAGAGGATCATCGGGGCTCATCTTCCCTCCATAAATACATTTCATCCCAGCGCTGCGTGTCCCAAGCCCGTCATATCATAAATGACCCCTCACACCCCCACCATGGACTGTTCTCCCTGCTGCTCTCTGGAAAGAGGCTTTGCAGCATTCAATGCAGGTCCAGAAGATTCTGCAACAGCTTCTTCCCCACTGCCATCAAAAAGCTGAACTGTTGAAAAAAACTCTAAATCATGCCACAGACTGTATCAATTTATATGATGCATATTTGCATCATATAAATTTAATGCTCTGAACTTCCATTTCAATGCGTTTTTTGCACCAAGTTTTTTCCTCCCACACTGTTTACATTTGATCCCTGCTGCAGTTTAAGGAATGGAAACGTCAAGAAAGCTGTACAAAACAAAAGAAATTGTTCTTTCCTGCAAATAAATCCCTAGAACAGAAATGTTGTTGGTGAATGTGTATCTGGATTGAAAAGAAAACATTACCTGGTTGTTTCTACCAGACTGGCCCATTTCCGGCTACTGGGTTAGCATTTTAATTAATAACATGGGCATATAGATATAGTTACAGAGCTAATCTAACTTAAGTATAAGAAAGCTATATTTTTTTTTTCTTGTAACGAAAAGCTTTATAGAAATACCCAATTAAACTTCTCTAAATAAAAAAGAACTGGAGAGCTGCATTCTTCACTTGATGAGTAAACTTTTTTCCGCTCTACCATCTCTGATTTTATGGCTCTTCAGCATTGCTGGTACATCTTCAAAGGGTTGGGACTCCTTAAAAGGTTTGCTGCCCTTTCTAAAGACCCCTCTCTTTTTATCTGAACTTTTAGTGCAACCTGGCAACAAATCTGGCCTTGCAGTATTAAATGTTGCTCATAGCGCCAGTGACTGACAGATAATGTTCCATGGAAAAACACAATGACCCACTGGAGCCAAAGCATTGTACATCTCTCTGAGCTATAATCGCCATGGAGACTTTCTGATTTTCGCTTTATGGGAAACGTCTTCTGGATCTCTGCTGCTCCCTGTCTGACGGCAGATTAAAGTCAGATAACTGGACACAAAACAATGACTGCTCATATGAGCAGTTTTATTTAAAGCATGTCCATGTAAACTACTTTCTACACACATTTGGAACATTTTAAGGAAGCAGATTAGTTACGTTTAGGCTGCCCAATATGTTGCATGTGAGTGCATGCTCCTTCTCTGCAGTGGTGGTTTGCTTTTTATTCGCCTCTCCTACTCTCTTGTCGATCTGCTTCTGAGTGTGTGGTTCAGTTTTTGTCATTTTAAAGCTGCAACCAAGTTGAGAAGGTAAACTGACAGGGATTTGGCTACTTTATTTTACTTTAAATCCCGCCTTTTAAACTTTACAGGTTTCTTACAGTTTGTGGTTGGTAACGTTAACAAAGCATTTTCCAGGCTATTTATTGTTTTCTAAGAGTTAAAAATAAGAGAATCCATAATGAAATAACTGATTTCAAGACAGTAGTGAATGTGTTGTGATTCAGCAGTAGCGATATGTCTTAAAATTATGATTAAGGTAAAATTCATAACTTCATAGGTGCTAAGCTAACCTAGCTTCAAAGTTTATATTAAGGAAAGTGAACTCTAATGAACTCTAGTTTATAGCGGAACACAGAACTTTACATTTATAATCCGGTTCCATCAACTGTTAAAGTCGTAGGGAAGTCATATTTAAATGTCAAGTCATTCTGGCTTAAATGTGTATATAAATGTACTCTTGATCAGACGATATTGTCCCAAAATTTAGAAAATTTCTATTTAAAAGAAAAATCCTGTCTTAAAATCTGTCTTTTTTCGTTATCTTATGCACGCCAGTTAGTTATAGCTTGTACACCTAAATGCGGCCAATCATATATAACTGACAGCTGTGAATCAATTTTTTTTCAGTCATAGCATCTTGATTCATATGTTGCAGCTAATATACGGTTGAAATAAGAAATTAAAAAACTTTTATTTTCCCATTGAGTTACGCCCCAGTTTTGACAGGGATGGACGTCTGTGTCTTCAGCAGGCGTAGAGCTAACAGAACTGGCAGCGTTGAGAGGCAAGGGCTCAAACATGTACGGCTGTAAGCCTTCTACACCAAACCAAGCTTCTGCCGCCCTGGTGTCCTCTTCCACAACATCTTCGTCCCCGCTTTCCTTCTCTAAATAAAAAATGTATGACAGGATTTTTGCCCCTGTTGCCTTTGGAACTTTCCATTAAATCTACAAACTCATCTCCTTATCTATACATTTGGGTCATCAAAAACCTCCACCAAACCTCGACAGTTTGCAGAAATTCACAAAGTTCAATATATGGCAAGAATTTTTGCTGATAAGCAAAGAAAAAATGGAAGTGGAATTATTAAAGGTGCTGTTCCTTTAAGAAAATATCTAGTGGGAAAAAATATAATTTTAGATTACAACCCAGAAAAATGCAATAAAATGTTTTATCTACTGTAAATGACATTAACACTCGATGCAGCACGGTACGATCTTCTACCAAAATGACATTAGCAGCAAAAAGTGAAAGGCCACTGATTTCATTCCAAATATGAAAAGAAAAGGAAAAGCAACACAAATTCCCTCAGCATCACAGCCCTCTACTCTACCTACAGTCCACACTTTACAATCCTTTAACCCTTTAAAGCCAAGTGTATCATATTTGATACATGAGTTTTTCAGACTTCTGCATCATCAGTGTGATGTTTTTGTTTTTTAAAAACACTAGCCTAAACATTTAGACACATGTAGTGAACAGAAAATGTATAAAAGATTATACAGAATCGCCTAATGTATCAAATTTGATGCAAATAAATGACCTAATTTAACTTATACAAGATTTTTCAGAAAGTTCAATAACATTCTAATTTTGAAAAATTTGAATGTTATTTATATTTTTTCATGGTTCAGACTTTAAAGGGTTTGGAACTACGTAACATAACCAGGAAGTAAACACTTACTGTTTTGTTCTTCTTGGAGTAGGTCTTCTTCAGCAGCCTCTCGTTCATCCTCTCCTGTTCCCGCTGAGCATGGTGAAGGAAGCCATTCTCCAGAGGATCCACCGCCGGCTGGACGTTCTCCTCCTCCTCCTCTTTGTCCTCCCCCTCCTTCTTTTGCTGCTTCGCCATCTTCTTCTCCTTCCACCACTCCTTCTTCTCCTTCTTCAAGACACCCGTATTCTTCTGAAAGCAGAAAAGATAAGACAGTTTGATTGATATAGATGTTTATTCTACAACTTTTCATCCATCCAGAAGCGTCATACTGATCAAGGCACACAGTATGAGTTAGTTAAAGCAGGGTCTGTTAAATATACAAATATATATATATATATATATATATATATTTTTTTTTTTTTTTTCAATTCATTGCTTAAAAAGTAAAAGTATGGCACATGTTGAAACTTATCAGGAAAGGTAACCTGGAATGACATCCAAGGCATGAGAAGCATCATTCACAGAGGCAGCTACAGTAAGAAGCTTGTGATAACTTTGGAGGAGCTGCAAAACTCCAAAGCTCTGAAAAGATCAGTCAGACGTTTCATACACTTACTGTTAACGCACCTTTTAATAAAAGGTAGAGCGGGAAAAAAAAGCATATTTGATATACTGTCATAAGGAGTGGCATGTAAAGTCTCACACACAGAGTGGGTATATGGAGTGAATTTTGTTCCTCTTTGTAACAAGCAAAGAAGATGTCAAAAAAAAGTAAATTTGCTGTTTTTCTATATATATATATATATATATATATATATATATTTTTTTTTTTATTGATTTCTTTTATCTTAGTTTTCATATTTCATATTTCATTATACATCTTTTAAACTGGTTTTCCAGATCACATTCTCTTCACTTCAATAGAGATATTGTTGCCAACGCTTGCAGACCAATAAAAATGCATCTTTGCTCTTAACTTCACCCCTAGAAATTAAGACAATGTGATCTGTAAAACACAATATGAAAAGAATAAAATTTATGAACCTCAATCTGAAAAAGAGATATTTAACAAATACCTGAGGAGTTTTTTTTACATTTCTGGATGTTTTCATTTTCTCAGATATTCATTTGCAATAAGTGTTTTTTTATTATTATTATCATTTTTTTTCTTTCTTTACAAAACAAGTTCTTTGCTTGCAACAATAATGGAACAAAAATAACTACATCTGAACAAGGATAGAACAAAAATGAGGAAGTAGAAGCTTTGTACATTAATAACGCGGTAAATGAGAAACAGGTGGTAGGAAGCAAAGACTGCACTGTGAACACATGAGGAACTATGGTGGTGGCAGCATGATGCTGTGATGATGCTTTTCCTCAGCGGGAACAGGGCTGAACCCTGTTTGTTAAAGGCAGCAAAAGACATGAGACTGAGTTGGACGTTCAACATCCAGTCAACATCTGAACTCTGATGTTCGGATGTCTACTATTCACACTCTGAGCGTCAGGAGTTTTTAAAAATAAAACTAATTACAAGCGCCTCCAAAACTAGAAGCTCAATTGCTATCAAGAAGAGGATCTGTTCAGATAAACCATTAAATGGTTAGGGTGCTACTGAAACAAACTAAAAACATTGAATGCTACTTAAAAATTCTACAAAATAACCTGGATTACTGCTTTTTCTTTACTTTAAATTAAGGAACTAGTTTGTGTTGGTCGTGCACAAAAAAACCCCTGAAAGAACACATTGAGGTTTGTGGTTGTAACATGACACAATGTGAGAAAGTTCAAAGCGATCCGGTTGTCATTGCGAAACCCGTAGTTTCATCTGAATTCTGCTTTCACATCCAGCGACACACAGATCAATGCCACACTCGTGTTTAGATTTACACTCTTTAGCATTTGCAGGATTTTCCTAAGAACCTTGAAATGATTGCACTCTTGAGGATGACAGATCCATGAAAAACAACAGCTCACGCCGCCTTTCGAACAAAAACAAAAACAGGCTGATGTAGACGGATAGCCAGACTGGCAGGAGATAAATGCGTTAAAGAAAGGATGGTGGGTGTGCCGCAGCTGGCAAACAGTCAAGTGCGCGGCCCCTTTTCCCTACTGGCTTTGACAAAGCCAGAAAACAGTAAAGCAGAGAGCGGCGATGCTAAAGCTCCTCTTTTAGAGTCATCTTTAATCCTGTCAGCAGCAGAACAATGCTGTACTGGAGAACATAATCACTTTATGGCTCAAATATAATGAGCTTATGATATGAAGTGCTGCTTTATTGCACAATGGAGAGAATATAGTTGCTTTGCAGTTTGGCTGTAACCAAACCATTCCCCTCTTTAACTAATCATTCCCTCTACATTTCAGCTACACCCTGGATTGAACCAGTGTTTGTTTATAGGAATTAATAAAAAACATTTAATACGCTCTAATATCCTCCTCAGGGTTTTTTTTCTCCTCTCCTCTAAATAACTATTTAGACTGATATTTATAACAACAGGCAGATCAAACTATTTCCACCTCAAAGTGCTGTTTTAGTGACAGTGAGGTTTCCAGCTGCTCATCTTGCCTGGGACCTGATATCTCCATGTGTCACATAAATCAAATTATCCAGCGGCCATTATTTCCTGTGAGGCAGCAATATGAAGGTTTTAATGATCATCTTAATTGGCATATTTTGTAATTCAAACAAAGCAAAGAGCTGTTTCTACTGTAAGACAGCATCATTAGAACTGAGCGTGTATATCTTTTTAAAACAGCAACATTTATCCTGTACAGTTCAACTAAATATGAAGATATCTGGAAAGAAAAAAAAATCATTATTTCTTTCCTTGATTATGAAACAGTTCTATTAAAATAACCATTCTTCTGTCTGCAGCCCTCTCTAGCTGACCCCCACATATTTGCATTCATTCGGTGCAGAACTATTTTCAAACGCTAAGTTTTCTCCGTTCCAATCTTTTCTTCTTTTATGCTTGGAATCACTTTTAAAAAATACATGTCATTTATTCTAATATTTTTCCTTTTGAAATGTTTTGTGCTTTTCACAATTAAATTTACTTAATAGACAGAAACCAATTCCTTAAAAAAAAAAAAAGGCCCACAGCATGATACTTCCATTTATTACATGGTAAGAGTTAGCTCTGTGATAAACTCTGCCCTAAATAATTAAACTTTAACATTTTTTCCACACCATCCTGGCAAATTTAAATCAGATCTGTTTGATTTTCTTTGAAAAAAAAAGTAAAAGAAATGTAAATATATTTCTTTTTTACATCCTACCTTCTCTTACAATTGCCCAACAGTAGAATAAGCTTTATTCTATTTATCACAGTTGCCTCAATGGGCTCCTATATCTCACCAATCCACTGCAGCGAGAGAACATGGGCGACAGTCTGTGATGATGGATCAAAAAGGACCCGCCATGAGTGCACCTCATGCCTCATCCCAGCCTTCAAAGGACAGTATTTGAGCCTGATTGGCAACAAAGTTAGAGAAAAGTAATGTAGAGCAAGCGTTTAATAAGGAGGGAGCCTTTTTTTTTTGCTCAAAAGGTGAGATAATCCATTTAAAATAACTTTAATATTCAGAATTATTTTTATTCCACATGAAATAACAGCAGACTGTGGTGCTTTTTCTTTTCTCTCTTGCATGTGGATTTTTCAACTTCTCACCAAGGGTTGAACTTCTGCAACATAAAATCAAAACTGAAACTGCTGCTATGCTCCTTTAAGTTCTTTTAATCAATTTCTCTGTAATATCAACACTTTTCCTGCTTCTCTCTATTTATTTATGCTGGTGCTAAAAACATGTTGCTATTCTGCCAAATAATTCTTTTTAACAATGAGTTTCTTAGGACTCCAGGCTTTTTGGAAACATTTGGTTTAGTGGAAGAATATAAACGAAAGAATGAGGGGAAAAAAACTACCATGACAGCTGCAATCTGTAATTTATACAAAAGTTCATATTTGTATCTTGACCTCAGTAGATGTCAAAAGTGCAAACTGATTAAGTTAAGTACGGCGGAGTGCTGCAAACAGAAGCGTGCCTGGTCAGCTGTTTGTCTTGTGACAGAAAGGAGGATTTTGATGCCTCGTTTTTACCAAGACTAAAAATAAGTTTAAATTGATGAGAACGCGTGGCCGGTGAAAAAACCTCGGCGGACGCCGCTGCTGCCTGCAGCTGGTTACAGCTGAACCCACAGGACCGCTAACTCATGTTTCAACATCTGTCTTTAACCGCGACAAAAGCAACAAATGATCAAATGATGTGTTCCAGGGCTGGAAAGCTAGCAGATGGTGCATTAGATAAAGTGTTAATGTGAAACCCTCCATCACAACAGGTATTTATGTGTCAGACACCGGAAACAAGCACAAATCTTTTTTCTCTGTACGTTTGGAAAATAAATAAAAATCAAAGAAAGGTTTTTTAAAACTGGATGTGACAGTTACATTTTTTTTTTTATTGCACAAGGAAAACACTTGATTACTGACGTGCTGTGCTAATGAAAGCAGCGGCAAATTAAAGATTAAAACCAGCAATGCTTTGTATTTGGGGAAGCAATTATTGTATCAGTCTTGTCATTTCACTCTGATGAAATACATTTTTAAACGCTGACAAACGGTTTGTAAGCAAACCCTGCTCACAGTTTGACACCACTCTGACAGCATGGTTAAACATTATCTCGCTGACATCCCAGCAGCTCAAAGCAGCTCCTCTCACCTCATCTAGAAACACAATCATTTCTCATGAGGGACCAGATGGTATTAACAGGCAACTTGTCATGCCATTCATCACCTAGAGGGCCATATTTAAAGAGCTGTTACACCAGTGCATGGAACAGAACCAGGATTTTTACCCCATTAAGTCAGAGCAAAATATTAGCTGTGAGTGTCCATCATAGAGGGCAGGTTTCTTTCCACTTAGAACTTTTTATTGTGGTTTTTATGTCTTTCAATGAACTGAACGGTCTAATAATGGCACTTTTGAAGATGTTAGAGTAAAGAGAACGACAATAAGGGAACAATTTTAGGGAAATATGGCACATTATAGTGATCCTCATTTAAAAAAAAAGCTGGTCCTCAAAAGAATGTCCATAAGGTGTAGATGTACTGCATAGTCACATTTTGGACAAAGAAGATAGTAGTTATTTTTAGTCGAATCGATTACTGCAATGGTGTTTTCACAGGTCTGTCTAAAAAGTGGCTCACACAGCTGCAGCTGATCCTGAACGCTGCTGCCGGTGTCCT